GGCAAAGGCAACATGGCTGAGGATGACAATGACGAAGAAGAAGAAGAGAAGCCGAAGCCTAGGGCTAAGGCCAAGGCTAAGAAACAGCCCAAGAAAGACCCCAAGAACAAGAAGGTCCAAAAGAAACGGCAAGCTGAGACACCGTATCCGGTGACCTCGTGGGATCCGGAAGAGTGGGCAGAATGGCTGAAGTGGCCAGAGTGGGATGGCCATGAGGCCACTGCCAATCTCTATGACGACCTTGGCAGTGAGAAATGGGAGGACTATGACTATGGCCGGTGGGAGGGCAAAGATGACTCCTGGTGGTCGAAGTGGGAGGATGATGAGTGGGAGCATGGCAATGTCAAGACTTCGAGGCCAAGGAGAGCCCAGAAAGTGAAAAAGTCAGAGCCTAGCTCTGCGGGATCAAAGGCCGAGAGATCCAAGAAGCGCAAGACCACCAAGAAGGAGGATGGTGGGGCGGATGCTGCGGCCAAAGGCCCAGAAGATCCAGATGCCATCATGATTGAAAAACCCAAGGACGGAGTGGTGCCCCCGCCGCATGTGACCTACAACATGGTCTACAGCAGTGCCTACAGAAAGGCTTCGCACTTGGGGAAGGAGATGGCAAGGCAAATTGGCCAGGAGGCTGGCTTGATCTTCAGAACCTATGGAGTTGTTGATGAACGCTGTGGTCAATTTCGTACTCCAAAGGTTTCCACGAAGAAGGGCAAGAACGACAAGGACGATGCCAACAAGTCGGCTGAGGGTGATTCTTAGGCGACGAGGTCGCCACTTCTGGCAGCTGCATGATGCAGCTGCTACCCTCTAGTTTTGAGGCGTATGGTGCCTTTGTCACACGCTTGCTATTGTTCAGGTGTTCGCTTGTGCTAAAATTAATTGTATTTGTCTATAATAGTATATAATTCTTCAGGTGTTGTAGGGTCCCATGGGCCGCAAGTGTGGACTGAATGATCAATTTGTTTGCGGGACTACCTGCAAGAGTTCATTTGGGTTCATCATGCTAATGCACGCATGATTTGGGGAGCTGAGCGCGTAGAAGGTTTGAAAGTTCGTTTATTCGTGGAATGTGAAAGTCCAGTATGTGTCGAACAAACGTTTTGCGCAGCGCTTGCATATTTTTAGCATGCATGCAGTTGTAATGATGCACTTGTGCAGTGTGCTTTTGAAGCTTGCCCTCCGCGCCTTGAGTGTCGCACACTATCATGGCAAAGAACGGAGTTTCCAGGAAGAGGACCGTGATGTTGATTTGCAGGGTAGGTTATGCATAAGGGAGATGCGTGCACGAAGTTCTTCAGGTCATACTCTGGTTGCACTCTGTCAGCCAAACCGGAGGACCTGCGAGGACACTCATGAAAGCATTCCCAGATCAGTGAAGCGAAAGTCTCGGCCCGGGTTTTTGCCGATTGCTCTGTATCGAATCATGCTGGCTTTGGAATCTGCACATGGCATTGCATTTAGCGGTGGTGCGTTGAGTTGTTTCTAAATGAATGGCCTACCTTCACTTGGACGTCCAAGGTATTCAAAGTCCCGGAACCTTATGACGTGGTCGAAATGTTTGCCGGCAAGATGGCAATTTCTCGAAATTACCGCAAAGCTGGACTTCGAGCTGCCGCGATGGACATAGAGCTGAATCCGCAGGACGACTCTCGGACGGCTGAGGAACTCAAGGGTCTCATGGTCTCACTCTGGCTTACGTGAGATTGTTTTCTTATCATGCATGCCTGATTTTCAGCCAAGGACATTTTGACGGCGGCAGGGTTCACTCGGCACCTTTGGGCAGTGCTATCTATGAAGCCAGGAGCTGTTGAATGTAATTATTCATTCGCTGATTGGGTGTGCTATATTTAGTATTTCATCCACGAATAGCTTTAGCATGTGGGGTGAGCGTGCTGGTCGAAAGAATTCTTTCCATGCGTGCACCCACTCAGGAGCTCTTCTGGTTGGTGGACCTGTTTGCAGTTCATGGTCCGTGATGAGTCGCGACTGGGCTCTAATTCCAAGCGTGCACACTGTTCAACTCAACTTCTTTGCGTTTGTGTAATTTGAGTTGTTATAGTTGGAGGTTTGCATAAAGGCCTTGCTTGGGCTCTATGTGTATGCCTGAGGTGGGTCTACAGGCAGAAGCAAAGATTGTCCGATGGGAAACACGCATCTCGCTCGAACCTGTTGGTTGGGATAGTTTAGTTTGGACAAGAACGCGGCAGTATGCACAATGTACATCAATGTGCATGACACATTTTGACCTGCAGCCTAGGAAATACAAAAGTGTGGCTGATGCCAACATGATGATATCACGCGCATCTGCCTTGGTTCGATCGCAGGAATCATGTTTATTATGTGCATGAGTGCGTGTGTGAGACTTGCCATCATGCGATTACTCTGCCACAAAACTCACAAACCTTCGCTTCAGGTCACCTTGCTTCTGATGGCAGTGCTATTTCGAGGTGGATACTTCATGCTGGAAAACCCGTTGGGAAGCATCGTAACATGGTTGCACGGAAACTGATTGGATGAACAGCTCTTTGTGTACAAAGAAGTGTGGGCTTGGGTTTTCCTGCGTTTGACTCAGTTCAACCTTCATGATCGTCTACGGGTATTCTTGGAGGCTCATGACATCACCGAAGTACACACTTCGCTTGGGGCATTCGGCGCCAAAACTGCTAAACCGGTTAAGCTGTTTTCAAACTCACGTTCCGTTATGCGGCTGAAGCGGACCCTTTTTCCATTATATATGCAAGATTTTAGTTTTGGAATTGTGCGGGGGAGGGCAAGCAAGGTGGGAACTGCATCACCCGCCAAGCCTTGCCCACATTAGGAAGCTCCGACGTGGTGGCCTTCCAGCATCGCGGTCGACTATGCGATATCGAGACAGCACTGGAAAACTCCGCTTCAAAGGGAACGGGAAATTCTTGAAGGACACCCAAGTATACCCGTCTACCTTTGGATTTTGTGTTACATGGCCACATATGGAAACCTATGCGCATCCATATTGAGGCATGCATGCGTACCAAAAAATGAGGCATGTGTTTGGCATCACTTCTCAGGTTCGGAAGGTGTTCACGGAGCACACTGAGCAATATGATCCCGATCAGAGCATTGACTTCTCAGCCGACCAATGGCAAAATGCAAGGCCCCTCAACCAGTGACTGTTCTGTTGGGGGTTCACCCCAAGCTCAATTAACCATGTTTCTGTTGGGCTCACCTTCAATTCCCCCTACCTGCGCACAGGCTTCATGAGGTGGAGGCCCACGTCAAAGCGATCGTGGCCCAATCCGCTTCCCATGGCAAGCGAAAGGCCTTCTCCATCAGCTAGGAGGAGCCA